AGGTGCATGCGCAGGCTTGCTCCTTCTCTTTTTCTCTAACACACACACCCATCCCCTTCCCCCAATCACCCCCATGGGAAAGAAGGCCAGGTGCCCTCCACACAGCACAGGCTCCTAGAGCCCCTGGCTGGCAAAGGCCAACATGGCTCCTCCGGCTTCTGTGTGGTTCTCTGCACTTCCTGGTTCCTCCCAACTTAAAACTGCATTGGGGCAGCCCAAGCCCCAGTCACAGTCCTGGTTGTCACTTGGCCTCTCTAGGCGACTCTGGTTTACAGTTAGAGCGGTTGTGGCCGAGGCGGGCATGGTGAGCCCGAGCATTCATGGTGTTAATGGAAAACTGTCCATAAGCTGCTAGAGTCGAAGAACAAAGAAGTGTAAGTCAGGCATTGTTGCATTTCAGGAATTGTCCTTTCTGTTGGGTTCTTTAAAATGCCCACTTCTGTGGCTGACATGCATGTAAATGTTTGCCCAGGAAAGCATAAAATGCACACAAGATTGTTGAGGCAATCTATTGCTTGGCTGAGCCAGGAAGGCAGAGAGGTCAGGCCTGAGGGTCAGGCATCCCTGGCCAGCTGACTCCTGGCTGTGGGCCTCTCCCTTGTTGAGCAAATCACTCACCTTTCCTTTTAGCTTGCCTACTTGTACTGACAATACATATTCACTACTAAACCTTTAAAGAACTCAATGAGTATACAAAATGCTATCAAAAAAAAAAAAAGTTAAAGTCACAAAAAGTCTTACCACCCAAGATAAACAATATTAACATTTTAGGAAGTAATCTTTTGGGCACACTGCTTTGCATGCACACCCACAAACACACAATTGTTGAAATTTGCTTTTTGAGGGGCCCCTTCCACCTCTGTTTCCTGCCTCAACCTCCCCCACCACCCTCCGACTCTGCCAACAAAGACTTTGATGTCCATTCTCTCAAATCTACTTCATCTCCTACACAAACACATTCATGGGCCTGCAGGGGGTTCTTTCTCATTCTCAAATGTCTGTAGACATGTGACTGCACCATGTATCTCTTTATTTTTTCAAGATTTAATTATTTATTTCACATGCAGAGTTGCTAAGATACACACACACACACACACACACACACACACACACACACCCCTCCTATCCTCTGGTTTACTCCCCAAATGGTTATATTGGCCAGGGTTGGACCAGACCAAAAGCAAGGAAGCTAGAATTCCATCCAGATTTCTCCATATTAGCAGGGACCCAAGCACTGGGTCATCCCCTGCTGCTTTCCCAGGTACGTTAGCAGAGAGCTAAACTGGAAGCAGAGCAGCCAGGGTTTGAACTGGCATCCACATGGTTTACCAGTGTTTCAGGCAGTGGCTTAGCATCTCTGTGTGTCCCAAAGTGGTCCCTTCTCAGCTGTGCACCTGTGAGCACATTGCTTTTCTCATGAGACAACACACTGTAGAAATTATACTTACCCTTATGGCAAAGATCCAGCTCTTTTTTTTTTTAATAATTGTGTAATAATTCAGAGATTTTTATAGAGTTTAGATTTTTTCTCAACAGTTCCCTAACTAATGAGCAGTTACACTGTTGTGTTTTGTGTGGGTTTTATTCTGTTATGTATAGTAATAAACATTCAAAAAATATATTTAAAAAATATATATTTACTTATTCATTTGAAAGACAGAGTTACAAAGAGAGAAGGAGAGAGAGAGATCTTCCATCTGTGGGTTCAATCCCCAGATGGCTCAACAGCTAGAGCTGGGTCAGTCTGAAATCAGGAGCTTCTTCCTGGTCTCCCATGCAGGTACAGGATCCCAAGCACGTGGATCATCCCAAACTGCTTTTCCAGGCCATAAGCAGGGAGCTGGTTGGGAAGTAGAGCAGCTGGGACTCAAACCAGTGATCATATGGAATGCAAGCTCCACAGGCAGAGGCTTAGCCTGATAAGCCATAGTATTGGCCCCACAATAAACATTTTTATATCTTTGAGATCAACATTATTCTGCAGTGGCTAAACCATATATGAGTGTTAGTTCGAACCCTGACTGTTCCACTTCCGATCCAGATTCCTGTAGACACACCTGGGAAGGCAGGGAAAGATGGTCCAAATGCTTGAGCCTCTGTCACCCACACACCCTTCCTGGTGAAGGCCCTAACTCCTGCCTTCAGCCTGGCCCAGCCCCCATTGCTGGAGCCATTTGCAGGTGAGTCACCAGAAGAAAATCTGTCTTCCTGTCTCTCTCTCTCTGTTGTTCTACTTTTCAAAAAATAAATACTAACATAAAATAATTCTCTACTAAATTAAAATGCTGCCATTTTTCCTATGTGCTGTCCCATATTTACCAGAATCTTCTTATGTGCTCACTATTCTGCTCCACTGTCTGTTCTTTCACAAATTTCATGTTATTTTGGCTTAGATTCTGGCCACCTAGACAGTGCTCCATGCTCCTGCCTCCTGCTTCCTGCCTCTGGCCTTAGCCATTACAGGCATTTGGGGGAGTGAGCTAATGGATGGGGTTTTCTCTCTCTCTGCAATGCTAGAGTCAGCAACAGAATTGGGACTCAGAAACAAATGGCAAAATGCAGAGGATTTCAGAGATCAGGTTTCCCAAGATCTTTTACAAGTCTCAATGGCATAAGAGGAAGGAAAAACTACAGAAGAACAATTTCCTTAGAAGTTGGACATACATTTAAAGGGCTCCTTGTAATGGGACCCAGGAACAGTCATTGAAGGCTGAGTTCTCTCTAGTCTTTTAAGAACAAAGCATGCCAGTGTTAATAAAAACCATTGGCCACCACAGCAAAAAGACAAGGAGCTGTCTGTGTGTGTCATGAAGCCAACATCATCTTAATGCTAACCCTCAAGGAAGAATTTCCCTTGGGAATGTGGACTGTCATCCTAAATAAAACTTTAGCAAGTAGGATCCATCTTTGCATCAAAGAGAATAGCTCTTATTCCAGGAATGCAAGAACATTTCAACAACAGCAAATGCACTAACAGAATTCATTACCTCAATGAATTAAAACAGAAATGTTGTTTTATGGAAAAATACTGAATAAGCACCTGATAAAATTCAGAAGCCATTCCTTAGGCAAATTCACAATCCCTTAACTGATCTTCCAAAAACCCCAAGGTCTGAAAACTAAAGTGACTTTGGCAATACAATTTAACTGGTGATAAAATTGATCTGAATCCATATCAACTACTTAAATATAAAGAACATTTGTTATTTAATAAAAATGTAAATTAGGATGTATTCTATGTATAAGGTATACTCTAAGAAGTATATCTGCAGATTATTTGTTCTGTGGCTCTCTTTCCTATGTCCAAAACTACTCACTCTTTTCCTTTTTGAAGGTGAGTTTTAAAAAATATTTTATTCATTCATTTCAAAGTCAGAGCTTTAGAGACACAGAGAGAGAGCATCTTTCTTTCACTGGTTCACTCTAAGTTGGCAAGTGGCTGCGATGGCCAGGGCTTGGCCAGACTGAAGCTCAAAACCAAGAGTTTCGTCCAGGTCTCCCAAGTATGTGTACCATCCTCAGGTGCAGCAGCAGGGACTTGGATTGGAAGTGAGCAGCCAGGGTATGAACGAGCACCCATGTGGAATGCTAGAGTTGCAGGTGGAGGTATTACCTACTACGCCACATTACTGGCCCCTTATCCCTTTTGTTCCAAGGTAAGTTTTAGGAAAGAGGTAATGAGGAACATGCTTTTGACTCTCTCATAGAAATGCATGATTAAGTGTTAAGGTACCTATGAGTGGAAACTAGTATTCATTTTATTATCACTAGCAGAAAAAAAATAATAAAAGACAATGTTACAAACTGCACTACACATCAGCATTGATTGCTGGGCACATCCTGGTTTCAGAGATGCTGATATGTCATGAAAGGAACATCTTAGAATAGATGAAAAATGGTGTCCACATTCCCCCCCCAAAAACAGTCCCCACTCAATTCATACTGAAGATAGGAAGTGACTAGAGGAACCTTTTTGTCATGAATGTCTGTATCTCAGGCCTGCGCCAGCTGAGTACAGGGTGTTGCAGCCCAGCATTGGACAGGACCTAGGACCAGCTCTGCACTGGCCTATCACTTCACAGGGAACAAGCTGTTTAACAGGCTGGAGCATCGGCCTCTATAAAGAATATGACCTCCTGGCACAAAAGCACCGTCTGTCATCCTAGAATTTTTACCTGAGAACACCCTTGTCCATAGCTTTTCCTTCTCTAAAGAAGAAGCCAGACCTTCCTGAAGAGCTGCCATTAGCCCAAGATGCTGGCACCACCAGCCTCCCCTCTGTTCTAGCATCTCATCTGAAAATCACAACTATGCCATTTACAAGGGAGTCCATGGGCCCAAAGACGAAACAGGGCAGTCCCTACTGATGCAGCTGGTGGCTAAAGACTTAAGCCTATACCATCTAATGCATTAACCAGGATTGTTATTTATTTATTTTTATTGGAAAGGCAGATTTACAGACAGAAAGAGAAGCTCAGAGAAAGATCTCCGTCTGCTGGTTCACTCCCCAAATGGCCAAAATGACAGAGCTAAGCTTATCCTAAGTCAGAAGCCAGGAGCCTCCTCTGGGCCTCCTACATGGGCATAGGATCCCAAGGCTTTGGGCCATCCTTCACTGCTTTCCCAGGCCATAAGCAGGGAGCTGGATGGGAAGCGGAACAGTCAGGATATGAACTAGTGCCTGCATGGGGTGCTGATGCTTGCAAGGGGGAAATTAGCCAACTGAGGAACCATACCAGACCCCACCAGACACTTGCCCAGAGGACCAGGATCCAACCCGGCAGTGTTGCTATTGCCTCCAACCTGATGATCTCATCTCATATGCTCTGAATATAGGCATTTCTCCTCTGTGGGCCATTGACGCATGATGGACACAAGCTTAGCTTGCCCACTGCCTTCTAAGCACCCTTCTCCCTTGACCCTCCTAACCGCAAAGAGACTGAGGGAGCTCTTCCATTGTCTCTGCTCTCACCCACCAATCTGCTGTGTACTTTCCACAGGATGGGGCTGGTGAGCAGCAAGAAGCAGGCAAAGGAGAAGGGCAAGAGCCACTGGAGCTCCGTGACGGTCAGCACTCAGAGCAAGGCACCCCCGCCGCTGCCACCCCTGGTGAGTGATGGGTTCTTGGCTCCCTGAGGCTCCCACTGCCAGCTTCTCACAAGCTCACCACAGCACACACCAATGTGGCAATGGAGTAGAATGCTTAGCAACCCAACTGCCTGAGTATAGAGCTCTTACCTGTGTATTCTGAGCACCTCTCGTGCCTCAGTTTCCACATCTAACAGAGAGAGTAAAAGTGCCTTCCTGCTGGCAATGGAACATCTCACAGTATCTAAGCGGTGTGCCAGGCAGCCAGATGGCAGCACAGGGCCAGGCAGGGTCAGCCCCCAGAAGGCTCAGCCAGTGCTCTCATCTCACAGCAGAAACCAGAAAGATGGGTGTGGCAGGGAGTATCAGGAAGGGGCCAGGCTTGTAGCCACGGGGGCCCTGCTGTCTCCCCAGAAGCAACTGGATGCTATTGTCCCCCGTGAAGTACTGGGACCAGTGTTAAAAGGGGAGAACCCTGAGACCAGAGGGTCCTTATGCTCCCCTCTGGCACGCAGTCTGCGACCCCCAGCCATTACACAGACAGATGACTTCCCAAAAAACGAAAAGAGGGAAAAGTCAAGCGAAAACGTTTTACTGCTGGCGAACCCATTTTCCTTTACTTTTAGAATAGATCCATTTGAAAGGCAGAAAGAGAGGAGAGAGGAGGAGGTGAGAGAGAAATATCATCCATCCACTGGTTTACTACTCCAATGACTGTGACAGGCAGGTCTGGGCCATGCTGAAGCCAGAGCAGGGATTCATTCGAGTCTGTCATGTGGGAGGCACTGCCTTTGCTGAAAGTGAATGGGAAATGCAGTAGCAGAGACCCAATGTAGCACTCTGACATGGGATGTTGGCTTGTGGCAAACAGCATTTTAACCCACTGCACAATAATGCCAGCCCCAAATCTACTTTCCCTTAAACACAGTTCTGGTTTGTTTGCAAAGTAGTCAGCATCCGATAACAACCACTGCATTTCCAAGGACATGTTCTTAGGTGCCACTTTGCGCCCTCACTGATGAACCATGTACCTCCTTTTGGTTTGGGGCACTTGGGAGTCACACCTGGACCCCCAACTCCTCTGTCACCAAGGGTATGTCCACGTGGTCAGCCCTTTTTCTCCTCACAGGATTTTTTTTTGGCTTTTGATTGATTTTACTTATTTGAAAGGCAGCATCACAGAGATGGAGAAACATCCCCCAAATGGCCACACAATCGCTGGGGGCTGTACCAGATCAAAGCCAGAAGCCAGGAGCTTCTTCCAGGTCTTCCATGTGGGTGCAGGGGCCCAAGCACTTGATCCATCCCCCATTGTTTCCCTAGGCATAACAGCAGGGAGTTGGAGGGATGCTAGCACTGCACATGGTGGTTTTACCCGCTATGCCACAGCAGCCCCTCACAGGGTCTTAATATGGGGTAGAGATTGCTAAACTCATTCCATGGCTGAGCCGGGCCTCTCTGCCTAGCTCTGACCTGGCCTTTCAAAAGTGAGATGTTTGTTGAGTGAATGAATGAACAAACCTGCACACTTGGACTGGAGACAGATGGAGTCTTTTCCCCAAGTTACCTTTAGTAAGTGGCAGAGCCTGACATGTTTTACTTTAAGAAAAGCCACATGACCTAGATTAACCACAGAAAAAGAAATGCCAGTTCCTCGCTATCTCAGACACCTGCAGCCAACTCTGGGAGCTCCTGCCACCAGACCCCATTTCTGCACATTCCTTTTATGTCTGTGTTTTTAATGGGACGAATCCACACTTGGCACCTTGCCAAATGCTATGTTAAGATGGTGTTCAGGAAATACAGGCTACAGAAAGCAAACATTACAACATGCACGCCGGGGTTGAAAGGGTGCAATATTTGGCCTCCACCCAGCCTCAAGCCTCCTTGGCCTCCTCCTGTGCCTTTGCCAGTTCATCTCCCTTAACCTAGACTCCCACCTCCCAAGAGTACACACCCAGCCTCAACTTGCCTTTCCATATTACCACACATGTGGGTGTTCCTCCACAGCACTGAGGGTTCATTTTCCACATTGTCAACTTGAAATCAACTGATTTAAGCAGTGGGTACCCTCTGAGACTGGAGTTTAGGTTCAACGTTACACCTGTCAGATTATCAACATTGATGCATATAACTGCAGTTGATTCACTTCACTACACAGTTACAAGGGAACTTCCAGAAGTCCACAGAAAACAACAGAATTAAAACATAAGCCTGGGGGCAGGGACAGTAGCATAGCACATCAAGCTCCTGGCTTTGGCTTGGTCCAACACTGACCATGTGGCACTTGGGAGGAGTGGCATGAACCAGTGGTTGTGGCAGAGAAAAACAAATTAGAAGTTCCTCTTAAAAATTGTGTTTATAGAAAAAAATGTTGGCATTTGTGCCATAGTTTTTCATAATATGCATTTTGCCCAAGCTTTTTGAAGACCCTTTGGTTGCTGCAATTTGTCTATATGCCTGCCATTGGCAATAAGGATCATTTTGTAAATGTTTATGCCTAACGATTACTCAAGGAGCATTCTTGTATGTTTCCTGGTACTTATATGCAGCAGCTTCTCCCCAGAGTATATGTCTAAAACAGATCTGACTATATTCATTGAGCTTTAGGGACGTGTACTTTGGAAATTTTTTTTCTATAAACAAATACCCTTTTGCAGCTTCATCTTCCCCTGTGAGGACTAAGGGCTTAACCCAGGTGGCTGTGGGTCCCCTCATCCTGGTGGGGGCATCTCCGCACAGGCCAGGAGGCGACGGCAAAGTCTCGTGTGTGTGTGAGGGTGTCATGGTACCCCGGGTAGCTGTAGCATCAGGAACATTACTTGCCACCTTGCTTCCAACCCAGCAGGTGCGTACACGTATCATGGGCCCGTTTCACATTTTCATCCTGCCAGGCTCTGCTTACTTTGCAGGGGCTGCACTAACTCAGGGCTTGTGTGTGTTTCTGCTCAAGGTCGCCCCGAACCACCTGGACCCCCCACCTCCCAGTGAACTCCCGGACCAAGGTAAGGAGGTTAGGCCAGGGCACCGAGGCGCCACAGACTTTCCCTACCTACCTGCCAGGGATGGAGAAGAGAAGACGGCATCCGGAGAGGCTGACAGAGGTCTTGGTCCACGTGTACCTTGATCATCTCGCCAGGACCACGCTCAGCTTCCTAAGCCTGGTGGGATTTTTTAAAATTACAATCTTTGTAGGGAATTCTAACAGTCTCCTCGAATTCAAGCTCACAAAGATTCTCCACCTCAAAGGCCTGAAGCCAAATGCTCTGGTTGCATTTCCCATGGTAGCACCACTCTGTCTCCCACCTTCTCAGCCAAGTTCCAAAGCCCCCTCTCTCAAGTACACACTCTGGATCACAGGCTGAGAGACCTCAGAGGGCTCCCCAGGCTGGGGAGTGACCATGTCCAGTACCAGCTTCTCCCAACATCTCCATCATCCACTTTTGCACAGCACAGGGAGGTCTGCCTGGGCCAGCAGATTCTCATTCATCCACACAGCCCCTGGGGCCTAGAGCATGCAGCACAGGCTCTGCTCTGTCCCAGGGCTTGTGAGGCGGTAACCATGGATAATGCCTGGCTTCCAGGACAGGCTCAGTTTGTCCCTGTCATAGCAAAGTGCTCTTATTTGGGATCCCTTGTCCTGCTGGGGACAGCATGCACACCTCATAGGGCCGTCCATCCTTCACTTCCTGGCAAGGGAGTCCTGAAGAAGAATTGACTAGCGCCCCCTGGTGCAAGAACTTGAACCTTACCACTGCGAAGTCCTCTTGTCATTCGCTGCAGCCCCTCTTTCCTGTCCAGGGAAGGAGGCCAGACCCAGGAAGTCACAATGCTCCTTGGTGACCAAGCCAAGTCATCGCCTCCTGGGGAGACCATGGAGTCTGCAGGGAAAGCCCTCATCCCCAGCAATGGCCAAGCCACCAAGCCCTCTTCCTTCCTCTGTCCTGGGGCCACCAGAAAGTCAGAGACAAGGCAGGCCCAGGGGCACTGCCCAGCAGTCAGAAGCCAACTGGGATGGCCTGGGAGAGGTCAAGGCTACAGCTGCTTTGTTCAAAAAAACATTGCCTCTTTAAGATAGTCTTGATGGGGGGAGGAGGAACTCATATGCCTCAGCGGGGGGAAGGGGAAGGTAGAGCGAGGGGCCAGCTCCCTTGGCTTCCCATGCAAGGATCTCCAGGTATCAGGCACCTGGCAATGGCTGCCTCCATGCAAACTGCCATCCACATCTGTGTCCAGGCCTTAGAGCCTCTCAGTGCCATCCTGGAGGGTGAGCTTCTAGGGGCAGCCCAGCTGGAGTAGACACAAGGTCAGAGGCCTGTCCTCTCCAGGGTGGGGGTGGCTGTGCAAGGAGACCCTCCCCCTTGGCTGCCCCATCCCTGCCTGTCCCTAACCTTCTAGCTTGAAGGTAACTTGGCCCACACACCAGGCCCAGCCCCTGGCACCCCTCCTGTGGGCCTGCGTGGTGGCCATCTCTTTCCTGTTCCTTCCAGAGGCACATTTTGTGGTGGCCCTGTATGACTACGCCGCTGCCAATGACCAGGATCTGCAGATGGTGAAGGGGGAAAAGCTGCAGGTCTTGAAGGAGTGAGTCTGGGCGATGCCGGCTCTTGACCAGCTTCTTTATGCACTCTTTCTTTGCCTACTTCCTCACCCCACACACCAGCCAGCCCTGCAGGGCTGACTCCAGAGCACCCACTCCCCTCCCCCATCCCATTCCTGTCCCTTAGCACTTCTTAAACTTGACCTGCTGTCTTTCTCACCAAGGTATTTCTAGAACGTGGGCTTACAGCCACAGCCTCTAGCTCCACTGTCAGGCTCCTCCACAGCCTTCAAAACCCATCCCTGAACTGCCGCCTCTGGGCAGCCCTCCTGGCTCCTGGAGCGGGTGGGGTGGAGAGGCACTCCCAAACTGGGCCCTGCAGCACCTGCGTGTCTATTTCATGAGAGCTTTGTACAGGACTCGGTTGTGCACGTGCCTGTCCCTTGCTGGACAAGATTTCACACATGTGGCTTCAGCTTCAACCCACATTCTTGGTTCCTTCCCAGAGACTCCCCCCAACACCCCTGTTCCAGGGAACCCTGACAGCCTGTGTTGGTTCCTGAGGTTTTGAACCAGCCACATGCCACCTTCCTTCCTTCTGTCACCAGCCCTCTTGATTCTGTCTGTCCAGGAGAATCCCATACTCATTCAAAGGTGTCCTTTTCATTAAGAGTGACCAGTGCTCAATGGAAGGCACAGCCTTCCTGGGCTGGCCAGGCTGCGCCTCCACCCCACCCCAGAAGCTGTATCCATCATCTTGCCTGTGTCATTCCCTGCAAAGCGGAGAAAATCCACTTAGCCCCGCTTGGCTGGGCAACATACACCAACTCCAGCTCATTTGCCACACTGTGCATCATCACCAGTTCCCTACCCACCTGCCAGGGATGCGGGCGGCGACGTGGCGGGTGGCTCCAGGGAGATGCCGCGGCCAGGGCCATCATGATATTGCTGCTTCTTCCCTCCCTCAGAACTGGAGACTGGTGGTTGGCCAAGTCGCTCGTCACAGGAAGAGAAGGCTATGTGCCCAGCAACTTCGTGGCCGGAGTAGAGACCTTGGAGGTGGAAAAGTAGGTGGTCAAGCTTAAGTTCCCTCAAGCCTGCTTCTGCTGTGCTCAAGCACGGCAGGACTAAAAAGCCAACACACAAGTGATTGCAGAACACAGCAGAGAGGGTGGGAGAGTGGTCACCTTCCGGGTCCAGGCAGCGAGTAACCCACGGGAACTGAAACACGTCCTGGGTCAGCAAGGCGCGCCGGGAAATGGCGCGCACGGTGCATGGGAGCATGCGCGCACGCTGCCCAAGGACCAGTCCGCGGTGAATAGTATTCAGCTGCTCCTGGCCTGCCTGTTTGGGCATTCTGACCTGCACCCCCACCTTCCCCCAAACAACGAGCAGGGCCCTGGATTACGGCAATGCTGTGCCAAAGGAGACCCAGCAGGCATGGAGGCTGCAGAATCGCCCAACTCCCCTCCTCCCCACCCCCTCCCATTTGTTTGTCTCTCCTAGAGACTGATCCCAGGGGGTGGACGTGTGCTTTAGAGGACAGGAATGGACGAGAGGCATTCTTCCAGAGCAGAATTCACCATGGTCACCTAAATAAAGGGGCCCCGTGTCATTTCGGGAAAGCAGGACGGGATGTGGGAACCGGCTTAGAGACCACTGATTTCCAAAGGGTCTCACGAGAGAAGCTGCATAAACATATCCAAAGGAGGGGCCCTGTGGGAGGAGCCACCTGCAACACCCATGTTTGGTGTGGTGCATGTGCGTGTCCACTCCCCATCCAGCTCCCTTCTGAAGGCCCGGGGAAGGCTGGAGGGTGGGCAGAGCTGCTGCCCACATGGGAGACATGGAGGAAGCTCTGGGCTCCTGGTTCTGACCTGACCCTGTCCTGGCCTTCGTTGCCATCCAGGGACTGAACCAACAAATGGCAAACCCCTTTCTCTCTCTCCTCTCCTCTCTGTGTAGTTCTTTGAAAACAAAATCACTAAAAAGAAAGAATAAAAGAATATTCCCTGAGGCAGGTGCCTGAGGGTCACCTGCCCTGCGTTTTTTTCAGGTGGTTTTTTAAGTCAATCAGCCGGAAAGAGGCAGAGAGGCAGCTGCTTGCTCCAGTCAACAAGGTGGGCGCCTTCCTCATCAGAGAGAGCGAGACCAGTAAAGGTAGGCGGGGTGGCCTGTGTCTGCCCTGCTCTGGACTCCTTGGGAAGCCCACTAGAGGGAGGGGGAAAAGGGATCCCAGCTTGGAGAACTGGGGGCTTCCCAGCACAGGACCTTGAGGCTGTCCACAGAACCATCTCCACCCCACCCTCACCCCTCGGCCATCACCCAGACTGGACACCACGTAGACAACAGGCAGCAGAGGCCAGTGGGAGCCCCCCAACCCTGCCACCCTGACCATGCCACCTGGTCAGCAGGAAAACAAGACTGGTGGGGACCAAGGAGGGCAGCATGTACTCCAGCTGTGATGTGGCATTCAGATTGGCAAGCTCTGTGCATCCTGAGAGATCCTCTCAGCCAGGGGCAGCAGGGGGGATGCTGGTGGGTGACCTGGTTTAGGAGGTGCCCTGTGCCTAGGCCCACATAAAAGCCAAGGACCGTGACTGTGGACACAAGGTCCCCAAGACTGGGGAAGTAAGACTGGATAACGGAACAAAACACTGTTGCTGCCATCTTTGGGGCTAATAAATAAATTATTTATTTGAAAGCTAGGTGGAGAGGTAGAGCTTCCATCCACTGGCTCATTCCCCAAATGCCAGCAACAGCCAGTACCAGAAGTTGGAAACTCAAGTCAGATTTGCCACGTGGTTGGTGGAGACCCAAGTGCTTGAGCTATCACCTACTGCCTCCTAGCTAGCGAGTGTGTGAGCAGGAAGCTGGACGTGGGGGCAGAGCTGGGATTTGAACCCAAGCACTCTGAAATAGAATGTGGGCCTCCCAGCCAGTGGCTCACCTACTTTGCTCAGCACTGACTCTTTCCTTCTTGATATTTGTAGTACAAAATACAGGTAATGGGGCCAGCATTGTGGAATAGCACACTCAGCCTCCACTTGGGTGCTGGTTCAAGTCCCAGCTCTTCCACTTCCAATCCTGCTCCCTGCTAATGCACCGGGAAAACAACATAAGATGGCCCAACTGCCTGGGTCCTAGCACTCAAGTGGGAAACCCAGAAGAAACTTGAGTCTCCTGGCTTCTGCCTGGTGCAGCTCCAGCCATTGCAATCTTTGGGGGAGTACACCAGCAAATGGAAGAACTCTCTCCTCCTTTCTGTGTAATTCTGCCTTTCAAATAAATTTAGAAATATGTTTTTCAAAATTACATGTAACAACACCTAAATTACAAATGAGTAGATACGTATGAATTGCCTAGGGTAATGATAAGTAACGCCCTGTGTAACCACAGCAGAGAGAACATTCTAGACATCTAGATGCCTCCCTCCCCCTCCTCCTGATTCCAGCCCCATCCCCTGAGAGCTGACTGCCTCCTGGCTTGTAAGGAAAGCCATGCTCAGGTCCTGTTGGTGTTTGGTGTTCAGCTCCATACAGAGGGATCAGGCTCTTTACGATACTTTGGGAGACTCTGAGTTCGCTGGCTAGGACAGCCGTCAGAGAGCGCCAGGCCTGCTGGCTTCCTGTTCTGGAGGCCCCACGGTGTGGGCAAGCTGCAGTCTCTCCTTGGCTTGCAGGCACCTTCTCCCAGAGTCATACAGTCTTCCTTCCATGTGTGTGTGTCCTAATCTCTTCTCATGAGAACATCTATTAGGACCTCACGTTAATTCATCACCTCTGCAAAGACCCAGCGCCCACATACAGACACGTTGCTGAGTGTGACTCTTCCAAGCCCACCTACCTGCGGGAAAGTGGTGGGCATTGGTTGTTTGCAGTTTGGAGCTAGTACCCGTGTATTGCTGCAAAGTGCATTTAGTGTGCACACACAGCAAGACCTGTGCAGTCTGCATCTCTGAGCCATTGCCAGTGATGGAGACTAGGAGGGGAGCTGCCCCTGGCACAAAGGAGTGAGTGCCAGCCGGTGTGAGTCACAGGTCCTTTCCCCACCTCTCCAGCCCCAGCCTGGAGGTGTCCGGGAGCCCACAGTGCCCAGGTCAAAGGCAGAAGGACTTTCCTACACCAGAAACTCTAAATCTCAGAAAATCTACCCAGCATGTCTGGATCTGGACAAACTCTTCAGAAGGATACAAGATCATCCAAAGATGTTTAGGCCAGGTCCTTGGGGAGGTGATGGGTACCCACATGTCTAACAGCCTGGCCCTGGGGAGAAGAGGCCCCCACCACAGGGGCACCCATGAGAAGAGGCAAAAAAAATCCCTGCCCAAGTGGCGTAAGGGTCCCTGAGTGTCCCTGAGCCAAACTCAGCATACCTGGAAACTCAGAGCACCAGGTCCATAGGGGCTGAGGTGATTGGCAGTACCAGGGCTGCCACTGAGGTCAGCACCTTAAGGTGTCATGCTAGCGACAGGTGGTGAGAAGGCAGCCCAGGAGAGTTGAGACAGGGTCGAGTTTCAACCGGAAAGGCAAGAGTTCCAATGTTGAGCTCCAACTTCAGCAGAGAAGGCAGCCTCCATGCTGGAGAAAAGAGGCCCGCGCCTGGCCCCTGGCGGCAGAGTGCAGTACTGCAGGGTGTGCCCCAAGCCTCTGCCGCTGGGGAGCAGGTTTTCCGGAGCTCAGGGAGTTGGGGTACTAGTCAGGAAGTACCCATGGAACTCAGACAGCTGGACAGAAGAGTCTTAGGGAAGCCTCAGGTTCATGGAAAGCAGAAACTGCTACCTCCTAAGTTGTGTGCAGAGGCACAGCACCCAGTGACATTGTCACCAGTGTGTAAGAAGGGCTGGGAAGCAGTTTATGATGCGCTCCACCCAGGGCACAGTACCTGAGGTTCTGATCTGGTGTTTGCTTCATTTGAATCATCCTCATCTGCTGGAAAAAGAAATGAAACTGCCATCTGTCCCCTCACCACCCACTACAGCAGCAGCCGCCACCTTAACATTTCCCAAGGTTCCCTAGCAAAGGGTCCCCTAGTGCCCAGGTGCCGACTATCCTGCTATCAGGAGGAACTAATTAGGGATTACACACACATCCCCAGGCCGTTTCCCTCTTCTCCGTAGGTGCCTTCTCTCTGTCGGTGAAGGATGCTGGCCCCCAGGGGGAAGTGATCAAGCACTATAAGATCCGCTCCCTTGACGAAGGGGGATACTACATCTCGCCCCGTGCCACCTTCCCCTCCCTGCAGGCCCTGGTGGAGCACTATTCTGGTAAGAGGGCATGCCTGCTGGGGAGCAGAGGGGCTTGGGCCTCAGGAGCCCTTGTGTCTATCCCTGAAATCCTGAGTCATGTGACTCATGTGTATCACCGTGAAGTGGGGAGATGGTCCCCAAACTGGACCTAAGGTCAGCCACTCTCCCCGTGGTGATTCCAACTTGGGGGCTCTAATCTCCTTTCCAGGCTCAGCATGGGACCCCTCCTGTAGCAGCAAAGGGATTTGCAGTCTTAGCAAAAGCAGGTTGATGAGTGCAACTGCTGTGTGCAGAATGAATGGGAAGAGCTGTGTGTGGGCGAGTGCACACACACTCGGAGGCAGGGCTTGTTGGAAAGATAGGGGACCCAGTGGGGGTGCCGGCCTGTTCTGGTAACCTCAAGCTCCATCCTCTCTTCCCCAACACAGAGAAGGGCGATGGGCTATGCCAGAGGCTGACCCTGCCCTGTGTGCGTGTGGCTCCTCAGAGTCCCTGGGCGCAGGACGAGTGGGAGATCCCCCGGCAGTCTCTCAAGCTGGTCCGGAAGCTTGGGGCTGGGCAATTCGGCGAAGTCTGGATGGGTGAGTTGTGCTGCACTCAAGCCCCTCCGTGCCCTGGATCCTAAGGCATGGGAGTGGCCGTGGGAGGCAGAAGGCTCAGCCTACGCTTCCCCCTGCAGCCCCGTGTGGGGAGAGAGACAAGTGGTGATGCCCATTTTCTGGAAGAGGTGACCTGTCCATGGCTGTAACGATGCCATGCTGGGAGAAAAGAATCCAGCTCCCTAGCCCCCAAGGCGGCTCCCTGCTCTATTCTTCCCTGCCTAATGGCAGCCCTGCTTATCCACTGTGTGAGTTTGGCCATATGGTTGACCCCTTAGTTTGACTCTCCCAGATGAAAGCTGGCATTGAGCCACAGTGAGCAGTGAACCAGGAGCTTCTGCCATGTGACTTCAACCTAGTCCCTTAACCCCCAGGTCCTGTTTCCCCACCTTCACTCTTAGCTGATGGGATCCTGCCCTGGTTCACATCCCCAGGGCACTCATACTGGAAGCCTCTCTACATCTGTATAAGCCAGGGCTGAACCCTGAGGGGCTTTGGCAGGAAGCTGCCCAGTGCTCCTGTGCCTCTGCCTGACAGAGCTGCTGTCTGTCACCCAGGGGTGAGCCTGGGGCTGCAGGAGCTCTGAGCAATTAAGGAGGGAAGATGAGGGCTGTGTGCCCAACCACCCCACCGTGTGGAGGGGTGGGAGGCAGGGCACAGGCAGTCCAAGGGATGGTACGCAGGCCCATATGTGGAGCTGAAAGGGGAGCCCCATCACCCCGTTCCTAGTCAGGGCGAGTTCCGCGGTTGCCTGAGACCTTAGTGCAGACAGAGGGGTGGAGATGGGTTCTGGTCCTCCTCCCAAGAGATGCACCCTTGTGCTCATCACCTGCAGGAGCTGCTTTTCCAGCTCAGGTCCCCTCCTGAAGAACAGGGTGGTGCTGGGTGTTTCTGTGGGCACAGCCTCCAAGCAACCCTTCTGAATGGTGGCTTCATCCTCCCTCCCCCTCCCGCTTCGGGCCTCAGGTTACTACAAGAACAGCGTGAAGGTGGCCATCAAGACCTTGAAGGAAGGAACTATGTCTCCAGAAGCCTTCCTGGGTGAGGCCAACCTCATGAAGACCCTACAGCATGAGAGGCTGGTCCGGCTCTATGCCGTGGTCACCAAGGAGCCCATCTACATCGTCACCGAGTACATGGCCCGAGGTAGTGCCTTCTGCAGGGCGCTTTGTTGTCATGCTGAGGCGGGGCGGGGGAGTCCCAGGCTTGCCAGGTCATGGGTCTGTGAGCTCCAGGTGGAGGACATTGCACTGCCTTGGAGAACAGGCACAGGGGCAGGGCAGGAAAGAGGCTGAGAAAGAGAAGACTGAAGGATGCTTAAAGAGCAGAGCACGGCCTACAGATCCACAGGCCTGCAGTCTCTCTCTTTGCATCTTTCAGGGCTTTGCTCCCTACAACATTGCAGGGAGCAAAGAGCTAGCTGCAGGCTCCGCTCTGCCCCCTTCCCAGCCATGGAACTTTGCTATCAGAACATTCCACAAACCTGGCCAGCCTCTAAGGGCCCCAGCAGGCTCCCAGAGGGGCAGTGGACCTAGGGCCAGCCTCCACCCTTGACTGCCTTCCTGCCTTTCCTCTGACCCTGGCCACATGCTGCTCCTGTAGGACCCTTCCGTGGCTGTGCTGAGCCAGGTCCCCCAGCATTGCCACAAAGGGGGCTGCTCAGACACAGCACACCTCTGAGCTGCAAGCCCAGCCTAGTCTCCCCTCCAGCCGTTGGATTCCATACAGCAATCACCTTGATCTGCACTGGACCCAGACCCATCTGCATCCACTAGGTGTTTCCTTACTGACACTGGGTCCTTAGCCACTTCCCACCACCAGGAGGGATGAAGCTGGTGCAGCCAGGCTTGGGTGGCCTTGTAGAGGTCTGATTGTAACTGCTGTTTTCTCAGGCTGCTTGCTGGATTTCTTGAAGACAGATGAAGGTAGCAAATTATCCCTCCCGCGGCTGATCGACATGTCGGCCCAGGTGAGTGACCGACCAGGTGCACGGGGGGAGCCTCGAGGGATGATGCCCTCATTCCTGCCCATATCCCTCTCCTCTCTGCTCTGGGCCTTATTATTTAAAATTCAGAGTGACAGAGTGGGAGTAGGGGGAGAGGAGAGAGACCTTTCCTCTGTTAGTTAACTCCCCCCCAAATGGCCACACTGGTGAGGGCTGGATCAGGCCATGGTATGAGTTTGGAACTACATCTGAGTCTTCTATACGGATAGCAGGCCCCAAGCACGTGGGCAACCCTCTACTACTTTCTAGGCACATCAGCAGGAAGCTGGGCAGAAAGTGGAGTAGAAACACCGGCTGCCATAATCAAGTAGTTAGAGGTTGTGTCAGTCAGCTTGAAGGCCATGCTTGGGGTTCTGCTTCCCCTCAGGGATCGTGACGAGTTGCCCCACAGCTGTACATGCTGTGCCATCCAATGCTGTTCTCAGCTGGCAGGAAGAAGTCAGGAGACAGAAGCCTCTAGGGATCTTCCTTTGGCCCTCCCTCCTGGGCCCTGGCTACCATATGTCATGTTCATTCCAGCTACCCAGAGCCCAGGGATGGTGGTCCCAGTTCTGGGCAGCCATGACAGTGAAGCTTCGCCCCTGTCAATGCCCTCTCACACCTCCCTCCACCCAGCGTAACCCCCAGGCCTCACATCTGGCAGGAAGCTCCAGGGACCCCAGCCAGACATGTCCTGCTGGTGGGCCCTGCCCAGTGTGTGCTCTGCAGCACTCACCCAGCACTTCCTTTTCCTTCGGAGCTGGTCTGCACCCTACTTGCCTTCTTTTTTACATCTCTATTTCCAGAACAGCACAATCAATGTCAGCTTATGAGAGAGGCTTGTTCAGATAGGAGGTGCTTAGCCTCAGTTTTACATCCCCACACTAGAAAACACACAGAGGGAATGAGAGAATGCATCCATGCAGACACCTAAGATAGGTGGGATCTGTGGCAGTGCTGGCTCCTTGCAATTGTGGGTTCAAGGGGTACACTGGCTGTTTTTCATCCACCAGTTGGGTGAATAAAGCCTTAGCTTTCTCAGCTAAGAGGCAGCGGCGCTGTACAAGCCACTGTCCCCAGTCCCAGGGTTCCTGTCCTTTGCTCTCTCTTGCACCTGGATGCTGCTCATGCTCCCGCAGCCACCTGAGGGGCAGGTGCAGGGTCAGGCACCCCTGACTGCAGATCACTGCCTCCAGGGCTGTCCTCGATTCCATGCCCTGCAGACACTTCTCTCTTCCAGGTCACTGCCGTGGCCCCTCAGGAAGGTAAAGCATTGCTGAGGATCAGGGATTCCCACAGGATGGGGGGTAGGGTTAGGGGAGTCTCCCAGCTCCCAGAGCAGTGGCCGCCCACATTTCCTTGCCTCCCTCCTTCCTTCCTGCTGCTTCCTTTTTCTTTCCAGATGCCTTTCTTGTCCTTACCCTGACACACAGGACAGGTGGCCCCTTTGCCTCTGATGACCTCATCCCTGTCATTCTGGGCTTCTCGGTGCTGGGGGAGCACTGCCTCCCGTGTGCCTCCCAAGTCACAGCTCTGCTCCCTACCCCCTATCTCAGCGCCACGAAGCCACCAGAAGCTGGCAGACCAAAGCTCACCACATCTGCCTTCCCCTCTGGACCTTGTGAATGAGTGAGCAGCCAGGCTGCTGGGTCAGCATGGGCCCACCCTCCCTCCCTGCTTAGGGGAAGCACAGAGTGTGTGCCAGCCCAGCCCACATGACCCTTCACCTCACCCCCAGATTGCTGAAGGCATGGCATACATAGAGCACATGAACTCTATCCACCGCGACCTGAGGGCAGCCAACATCCTGGTGTCAGAGGCGCTGAGCTGCAAAATTGCTGACTTCGGCCTAGCCCGCATCATCGACAGCGAGTATACCGCCCAGGAGGGTAAGCCGCACAGCCCCCCACTCCCCAGCCTCCATGTGTGAAGGGGCCTCACTTCTGAGGTGCCCACGGCTGCATATCTGTCTCCAGGTGCCTTCCTCAGGGCAGGCATTCTGGGGCAGACAGGTTTGGGAGTACTGTCTGCTCTGTCTCCCCCACTCCCACACCTTCGAGATGATTCCTAGTCAAGGCAGTGTGGTAAAGGCACCAAGAAGTTTCCCAGCAGCCTTTCCCCAGGTCTCAAACTACTGTGAGCCTCCAGTACTGCCCCCCACTTAGTTCCCATAAATGCTCACAAAGTTTTAGAAAAAGACCTGCAACCCAGGCTGCACAGGTAAGCTGTGCCCCAAGCTATCAAGGGAACTCAGAAGAGGATCAATGGAGCGCTTCTATCCATGAAGCAAGCGCTTAGCGGAGCTATACAGCTGGTCCAGGCAGGCAGAAGGGATGCACTTGTCACCTGGGTAACGACAGTCAGGCTTGCTGCCAGAATACAACTATGCCTCCCAGGCCAAAGGCAGTGCAGTGCTGCAGCCACCGTGGGGGGCAGTCCCAAGCCGCCATCCCCAGGCTGCAGGAAACACCTGCCCAGGGCATGGACCAGTCAAGGGGCCTGCCCACACCATGGGTCCTGTTCTTAGGCAAGGCCCGTGTGAAGGTGGGAGGGAGCTGGGGTTTGGAAGAACTGGGGGAGGGGTGATTCTGCTCTCCCAGATGAACACAGGCTCTCACATTACTCTGTTTTCAAAAACCTAACAGGGTGCCCCAGTGCTGCATCCAGCTGGTGCTCACGTGTCTCTGGCATCTTAGGACGTGGGGCCCCCAGGTGGGGGAGGGTGGGGCCTGCGGGCATCCAGGATGGGCCTCTCGAAGTCAGCTGCCTTTCCCCTGTAGGAGCCAAGTTCCCCATCAAGTGGACAGCGCCGGAAGCCATCCACTTCGGGGTGTTCACCATCAAAGCCGACGTGTGGTCCTTTGGAATCCTCTTGATGGAGATTGTCACCTACGGACGCGTGCCCTACCCAGGTAGGGGGCTGTCCCCTCTCTCACCCCATTCTCAGATGCCAGGCTTGGCTCCTGGGCTGCCAGTGTTTGCCAGGGGCCCAGTGGGACCTGTCAGTGACAACCGAGACCCAGGCAGCGGAGGGCTCGGACTTCCGGACTTCCAGAGGAAACGCTCCGCCTCTTTGCAACTCTGTGGCAAACACTAGCCAGAGGGGGCCTGCCGGGTGGAGTCCAGGGTCTGTCCGCATGGGTATGGCACGGATCTTGTCCCCTCTCCCCAGCCTCATCCTGCTCTGTCTCCTCCTCGCAGGCATGAGCAACCCCGAGGTCATCCGCAGCCTGGAGCGCGGCTACCGCATGCCGCGCCCGGACTCCTGTCCGCCAGAGCTGTACCGTGATGTCATCACCGAGTGCTGGCGGAGCCGGCCAGAGGAGCGGCCCACCTTCGAGTTCCTGCAGTCGGTGCTGGAGGATTTCTATACCGCCACCGAGCGCCAGTACGAACTGCAGCCCTGAGACCCTCCAGCTCACCTGCGCCAACCTCAGAGGCCGCGGGATGGGCCACACCTGCGGATCCACGTGAAGCCTCCACGAGGTCCCCCGCTCACCTCCCGGCTCGTCTTCAGGCCCCAGATGAACCAAATGGGATGGGGGAGGCAGGGAAGTGCCCTGCGTGCCCTGTGTCAGATAAGCAAAGCCGAGGTGGAGGCGGGTCCCGTGCCCCACCGTCCCCAGCCGCACTGGCCTGGTGTCCGTGCACCCTGGCTCATTAGTAAAACCGGACAGACCCGAGGGCGCATCCCCGCCGCGCGTTCGCGCTGAGGCCGACCCCGGCACGCCGTGCGAGGTGGGCAGGGCCTGGCCTGGCGCAGGTGTCTCCTCTGGCCCGGAGTCGCGCCTTGTCGTTGCGGGACCCTGACCCAGACCGCACCCCGCACTTTGGGATTTTTCTGTGATAAAGTCTCGAGAGTCTGACCCCACAGCGTCTTCACTTGGCGGCGCCCGCTGCCCCGGGAGCGTGGGGAGCCCCATGTAGCTTTTTAGCCCGGCAGGGGGCGAGCTCACCCCACAAATCCCTGGTCCGTGGGCACCTGCCTGGGTAGACGTCCTGGGTCCTACAGGGCTGAGGACTGAAAAAACGCCTGTGTGTGCTTGGGAGGCGGGCGGGGCAGGGTCTGGGGGTAGGATTGATTGCCCAGAGGGGCCTTGGATCGTTTTTGGGGGAGAGGGGACCTCGGGAACCCCCCCACTCACCCCACATACCAAGAAGGTCTCCCACTTGTCATGTTTAAACTGTTGTATATAACACACCTGATTTGTGTAGTCAGGTTGACAGAAAAATAAGCGGAGTGATGTCCCCATAAGCCCATGCCCCATTTACAGAAAGGTAAGCTGAGGCAGAAACCTCACTGTCATCTCGGTGGTAAGTCGCTGTATGGGGATGGGGTGTGGTTTAACCCACCTATCCACAGGGACCTGGCCTGCAGCTTCATGCGGTCTCCCCTGGGGAAGAGGTCCCCTCAAGGGTCATAGTCATCCTCTAGGGTCCTATAGGTGCCTTCTGCCCCTCCCCGGGTCTGGCCTCCTGCTCTCAGGTGGTCAGCCTCAGTGCTGCCCCAAGCGCCCAGCCCTGACTGCCCGGGTAGAACCGATGATGTGAGTGCGGAGGATGTGGGAGATGGGCAACAGTGGGTGAAAGTCCACCCGGGACTGATGCCCGTTTCCCGAGGGCTGGCGTGTATGTGTGAGTTGGAGGTCGGGTCCTGGCACTGCAAGAGTGACTGGTACGCCAGGCTTTTCCAAGTCTTGATATGCCTATGACAACCTGAGAAACCCAGAAAAGGAATGGACATTGTGGCAGTGGGTCCCTCACATCCCCCATCAGAGCACTGCTGAGCTTCCATTCCCATGCCCTGCTAATGCGGGAGACAGCAGAGGATGGTTCAAGTGCTTGGGTCCTTGCCACCCTTGTGGGAAACCTGGGTGGAGGAGTTCCAGGCTCCTGGCTTCAGCCTGACCCAGTCCCAGTGGCTGTGGGCATTTGGGAAATGAAACAGCAGATAAAAGATCAACCTCTCATCTCTCTTTCTCTCTGCCTTTCAAACAAATACTTAAAACACACACACGATTTCTGCTCCTCCTTCCAGGTTTTCCTTGGAGGACAAACACATTTCCTCCACTAGGAGGCAGCATTGCTATGGTGGTGGTCAGAGCTGAAACTAAGTTTTCTGGTGGTTTTTCTAGGCACCAAACCTTTTTTTTTTTTTTTAATTTATTTCTTTATATTGCAAAGGCAGATCTACCCAAGAGGAGAGACAGAGATCTTCCGTCGACTGGTTCACTCCCCAAATGGCTGCAACGGCTGAAGCTAAGCCGATCCAAACCCAAGAGCCAGGAGCTTCTTCCAGGTCTCCCACATGGGTGCAGGGTCCCAAGGCTTTGGGCCATCCTCTACTGCTTTCCCAGGCCATAAATACACAGCTGCATAGGAAGTGGAACAGCCAGAACATGAATCAGAACCCATATAGGATGCTAGTGCCTGAAGGAGAAGTGTTAGTTAATTGAGCCACTGTGCCAGGCCCCTAAGTCAGCTTGTACAGAACAAGGAGACTTCCAACTCCTTGCCAGAAAGTAAAATGAGAGAGAGAGAGAGAGAGTATTTATGTGTGTTTATGTGTGTGTGTGTGTGTGTGTGTGTAGGGGGAAGAGAGAAAGGAAGGGAAGATGGGCATGTACCTTTCTGATTGGGATGGCAAGATTTCACTTAGCTGTATTCTCCTAACCAGGTGTCCCCAGATGAGCCTTCGTGGTGGGGGAGAGAAGGGGCTAGGCTCTAGACACATGATGGAGGTGCAGGGGCCAGGAGAGACCCCTGGGTGCCTGATCTTGGGGATGCCACCTCTGCCACCAAGCTGAGCCACCTGTGGGCATTCTCCCTGCCCAGACATAGCCATGCCTCTTGTGTCCATTCTGCTCTGTAGTTGCTTCTTGTTAAACAGAGTCTGACTTGCACACTTTATTGAAAGCCAATCATCTAGTCCAACAGTGTAGCTCCCTTGTCACAAATGAGAAACTGAAACCCAGCCAAGGGATAGGCTGAGGTCCCCAGTCACACTGTGGGAGCAGCCACCAAGGCCCTCCTCCTCTATCCAATATCTCCAGGCCTCCCTGGGTTGCTGGCAGCCAGACGCTAGTCCACGTCACATTTTTCTGAAAATAGAAACCACTGAGAACTGCTTGGGTCAGGTCATGGCCTGAGTATGGCAGGGCATCTCTTTACTTAACGGCCTGGGGCTCCAGTGGGCACCGCACTCCACAGTTGCCAGGCATCCCCAGCCCTCACCTTGGTGCTCTGCCCAGAGGCCTCCCACGTGTATGGCCCACTTCATCTCTGTTCATCTGGGATGGCAGGAAGGCAAGGACATGGAGTCTGTGGCTCCCCCATGACGTCCCTACAAACAGGCACCCGGGCTCAGGACTCTGGGATAAAACGGGGGCTCGTTCCTGTGAGGCTGTCCCAGCTCCCAAATGCAAGCTTGTAGCCTGCATGTAAGCCGAAGGTGCCTGCACGCCATCCCAGAGGTGTGACGCCATCTTGCTTCCAGTGTGCCAGGCACTGGGCATGGGCTTGACCACCACATCTTACATGTAGATTCTGTTATTGGGCTGATTTTGTACATGAGGAAACCAAGGCTCTGATGAGCAGTGAGAGTGCCCACTAAGCCCCCACAGTTGGGACAAGAGTCCCACCCACATCTCTGCAGAGACCGCACTCCCCTGCAATCAGAGTTGCCATGGCCAGGAAAGGGGCCAGCTATTAACTTCCTGAGCCTCAGTGTCACCGTTTATAAAATGGACACACATGAGCCCCGCACAGTGGCTCAATTGCCTAATCCTTCCTTTGCAAAAATACCAGGATCCCATACGGGCACCAGTTCATGTCCTGGCTGCTCCACTTCCCACTCAGCTCCCTGCGTGTGGCTTGGGAGAGCAGTAGAGGACAGCCCAAAGCCTTGGGACCCTGAACCCATGTCGGAGGCCTAGAGGAAGTTGCTGGCTCTTGGCTATGGATTGGCTCAGCTCTAGCTGTTGCGTCCACTTGGGGAGTAAATCAGCAGATGGAAGATCTTTTTCTCTGCAAATCTGCCTTTCCAATAACAATCAAATCGATAAAACAAATAAAATGGAATAGACACGCGTACACATACACACACACCTGCCTCAAGGGAAGTTAGGGATGAGCTGAGCTGTGTGTTATTGTATGTATCAATCAGTGCGCACTCCCTCCAAGCACACTGGAACACCAATGCCCAGGCCAGTCACTTCCGTGGCATCATCTGAGATCTCAAGCTGCCTGAGCCCCTGCCGCTCCCACCCACAACCCACGCTCCTCTGGTTCCAGCCAGCAGCGTGGCCCCTGGGCCGTGGGTCCCTGTGGGCAGCGGAGACTGACAGGGCCTGATGGGAGCCAGTCCCAGAGGGTCTGAAGGCAGATTACTGAGGACTGATGAGGTGAAGAGGGATGGCTGCCTGGGAGCTGACAGCAGCAGTGGGGGAGGCCCAGGGCAAGGAGAGCTCGCTAATCTCTACCTGATGTTTCTGGAAGGGCCAGGGTACCATCTAGGGGCATCTCTGCTAGAGCCGTCCCCTTCTGTGCCAAGGTCACGATGCTGCTCTTGGTTAAAATTAGCCTTCTGCTCATTACTCTGGACTGCAAGTGGCCTTTTCCCATGAAGCATCAGGACCTGCCTCATGCAGACACAAGGCTGGGCAACATGCCCTCTGCTCTCCAGAGAGCAAACAGGCAGCCTCCCTGGCATCTGGGGAAGGTGGGGCACGTACCTACATTGTCACAAACCCCACCAGGGTGCCTAGGCAGGAGACAGTCATCCTCAGCAGCATGTGGACTACTGCCTGCTCACCTCCAAGGCTACTGTGTGACAGTTGGTAACATCACCTGAGTCCTTTCTAGCCTCTCTCATTAAACAGTAGCCTCCATGCCAGCCCCTCCAGTGCACCTGACATTAAGAAAACATGCTAAGTTCCTGTAGCCCAGGGAACTCATACATATGTATGTGAGTGAATGAACACGTGCTTAAGCAAAATAAGGAATGATTCGGCCAAGCTGTCCCTTCTGATGAGCTGGGCCGTATCTTCTTTCCACTGTATTCCCTGACCAGAGCTTGGCACACAGGAAGTATTCATGGATCTTTGTTAAATACTTGAATGAAGGGGATGAGCCTATCTTCTGTTCTTTGTCCACACCCCAGAACAACAGGACTCCATCAGGCTCAGTCAAGATGATGTCTACTGTCAGGGAAGCCATCTGAAACTAAGAAGATGTGGTCCAGAAGCTGAGAGCAGATATAGAAAGGAAAGCTATAGATTAAAATTCTGATGAACATAGGTGAGAAGTTCTCAACAAAATACTAGCAAATGGAACCCAACAGTGCAACAAAAAGTTCATTCTTCATCATCAAGTGAAATTTTCACAGAGACACAAGAATGCTTCAGCAAACACAAATTAATAAACACAACTATCACTTCAATAGAATGAAGACTAAAAAAAATGTAGGATCATCTGAACAGATAAACTAGGGGAAAGCACTTGATAAAGTCCAACATCCGTTGATAAAGAAAACAAGCTTTGAACAGATTGGTTATAGAAAGAACACACTTCGACCTCGTAAAAGCTGTATATGAGAAACCCACAGCCAAAGAAAAACTAGAAATAGTTCCTTGAGATCTTGAACTAGACAAGGATGTTCACTCTTGCTCCTATTATTCAAAATAGTGTTGGAAGTTTTAGACTGAGTAAATAGGCAAGAGAAAGAAATAGAAGGCATTTAAGTAGGAGAGAAGGAAGTCAAATTATCCTTGTTTTCAGTTGGCGGGGTTCTACAGAAAGAAATCTGGGCCAAACACAATGGTTCAATTGGCTATTCCTCCCCTTGCAAGCATCGGGTGCAAACCATAGGGGTGCTGGTTTATGTTCCAGCTGCTTCACTCCCTACCCAGCTTCCTGCTTGTGGCCTGGGGAAGCAAAGGAGAATGGTCCAAAGCCTCGGAACCCTGTACTCACACGTGAGACCTGGCTTTGGTCCAGCTCAGTTCCACCCATTGTGGCCACTTGGAGAGTGAACCAGAAGGAACTTTCTCTCTTCTTCTCTTTGTGAATCTGCCTTTCCAATACAAATAAATAAATATTTTTTGAAAAAAGATTCCACTCTCATTGCTATTATTCAAAGTAGTATTGGAAGTTTTAGCAAGAATAAATAGGCGAGAGAAAGAAATAGAAGGCATTTAAGTAAGGAAGAAGAAAGTCAAATTAGCTTTGTTTTCAGATGCTAGGATTCTATAGAAAGAGAAATTTTAAAACTCAACCAAGAAACTGTAAGAGTTAATAAACTATTCTGTGAAGTTACAGGATACAAAATTAGCACCAGAAAAAAAAAAGAGCAACAGCTTTTACAGAGAAAGAAATTATAAGAGGAATCCTTTCCACAATAGCCACCAAAGGATAACTTAGAATAAA